TTATTGTACTTTTTGAAATGTTAATATTACCATAATTACCAAAACAATGCTTGAGAGACAAACAGAAAAAGAAAAATTAGAAGATTCAATGATGAAACTTCAAAGCATGGTGACCTGATTTCGGGCTCTGCTGCCTCCTACTGCAAGACAACCCATTGTCCTCTTGTTTTCCTTAGGTAAACAAGAGCCTTGTTCTTCATCCTTGATGGCCAGAGATGCAAGGCTGAAGAAGATGCTGCAAAACAGTTTCCTCTGGCCACCTCTAACTCATGAACACCGTGGAAATGCTGTTTCTCACCTCCATTCTCTATACTGCTGCTAACATAAGTGATCATTTGTAAGTGAGAAAACTAAGTGTGGAAAAGTGACCAGACCTCTTCAAGGTCATTTCTACAAATGGAGAGTCAGCATGCAGACCCTGCTTCTGGTGTCTGACAGCTACCTCCCTGCCATATGAAGGCAGGTGATCTTTTTGCTATAGTACATGACTTGGGGGGAGGGGACCTTCTATCAAATGATAGCAAGCTTCTTAGCCTTGGGCCTCTTGATTCATGTTCCACATGCAAGTGTCTGAGCCTTGAATATGGCCAATGATGTTTTCCCAGCAATCACTGCACTCCTATTATCTGCAAACGCCCCAAGTTCATGGCATTAGCAAGGGGTTAAGCAATGTATGCATTAGCGTGTACCTGCCCACATGCTTTAAAATTTGTTCCATCTCTTTTCCTTTTTACACATTATAATTATTGATGCATATTAGTTGTATAGAGTAAGGGGATTCATTATGATATTTTCATATATGCATATACTGTGTGTTGGTCAAGTTTGTCAAGCCCTCTCCTATCTTCTCGCTCTCTCCTAACTCTCCTCCCAGGCCTATATAGCCCCTTTTCTACTTTACTTTTTAGTTTTCACATATGAGAGAAAACATGCAGTATTTGTCTGTCTGAATTATTTTGTTTAACATGATATCCTCCACTTCCCTGAATTTTTCTGCATATGATTGGATTTCATTTTTCTTTATGGTTGAATAGGGTGTGTGTGTGTGTGTGTGTGTGTGTGTGTGTGTGTGTGTGCCTGCATGTGTGCACATGTGAATGCCATTTTTGCTTTGCCCATTCTCTTGCTGTCACATACCTAGACTGATTGCTTGCCTTGGTTATTGTGAATAGTGCCTCGCTTGCTCCTATCTTGCTCATTAGCCATTGTTGTATAACAAAGCATTCTCAAACTCAGTGCCTTATTGCAAAATTTTATAATTGGCACTCAATTTTCTGGTTTTACTAGGCTCAGTTGGGTAGTTATTGATTACAGGGTTCTGTCAAATAACTTCAGTCAGCTTGGGGCTAAAACTGCAGTACATTCCCATAGCCTAAAGTCCAGCAATAAGAAAAGGAGGACTGGAACTTATCTTGAGGATAGAGCACTTGCCTAGCATGCAGGAGGTCCTGACTTCCATGCCCAGCATGAGATTGTATAACAGCTTACAATTTTTAAGACCATAGGGAGAATGGAACATGGACAGAGGAGCATTATTTGCTATAATAAAGCAAAAGAAATGACAAGCTTAGTGCTTACAGAGAGGAAAACTGATGAGACCTCATTTCAATGCAGAGCCTTGGAAGCAGTGAAATTCTGTGTGATACAAATCTATAATTGTTTTCTACTGCTGGTTTTCTTTCTGTCAACAAGAGTGCATCATTCTTGTGTCAGGCATTGAGTTGAGAAACACTGATTACCAGTTGTGTGAGTTACTTTTCATTGGTTGTTGAGACAAAGTACCTGACACCCAACATGCAAGAAAGAAAAGTTTATTTCTTACAGATCAGAGGTTTCATCCCATACTCATTTGGCTCCAAGGCAAAGTGACATGATTGAGGGGAAGCAGTTAATCGTGTCTGCAAACAGCAAGCATGAACAGCAAAAGAGTGAGACACGCCTTCTTCCTCTGGTACACTATATGCTGGCTCCACTCCTGGGCAGGTGTAGCACTCATACCACCTATGTGAGTGCTAGACAATGAACCAATCGGAAATACTGGATTTGGCCACATTCATTATTGCATGATGCTTGGGAGGGGCACCGACATATACTATGACACCAGTAGAGGCAAAGAGACTCCTCTCATACTCTCAGCATGAAGCTTATGGTCTACTGAGGTAGGGGGATACTTGTCAAATCACTATCCAAGTATAGGCTGAAAATTCCTAATCTGAAATCTGAAGTCTGAAATGCTTCAAAATCCAAAACTTTTGAGTACTGATGTAGTGCCAAATTCAGAAATTCCACAAAAAGAAATTTTGTTTCAAACACAAAATGTTATTTAATTAAGATTATTGGTACATTTTAGATGTAAATAATGATCATGTTAATCGTGGGAAATTTGTACCACACATGATATGAATGTTTTTTTTCCTCCATTCCTGTACCTTTCCTTCAACTCTCTTTCCTTCCTTATTTATGGAACGCTTGCTTCCTTCTTTTATCATCATTTTTTTCATTTCCCTTCTTCCTTTCTCCCTCCGCCATCCATAATTCCCCTTCTCATTAGAAAATGTTCAAATATCTATTTTATTTTAGTCCTTATCTACATTTTCAGTTTCCCACACCAGAGAAACAACACAATACACATGTTAACCACAAAATTAATACAAATATTGTATAAAATTATCTTCAGGCTTGGAGTATGAAGTATATATGAACTATAAATAAATTTCATGTTAGACCTGGGTCACATCCTAAAGACAACTTACTATTTCTATGCAAGTTCTACAATAAATAAAAAAATCAGAAATTTAAAACACTTCTTGTCCCAATCATTTTGTATAAATGACACTGAATATGCAGATGTTTAATTAATAACCTCAAGGAAGAAGTACAAGGGCTGATGAAAATATACAGCTAACATTCAAATTCTTTAAATTTTTACAATAATAGATACATACTCATTAATCCTCCTTAAAAAATACATTCTGAAAATAAATTAAATAAAATACAACTCCTTGCTTCAAACACACTTCTCCATTTGTTCTTGCAATTTTTGGAGCAGTTTGGAAGTCCTCTTTTGCGAGTGTCTTTACAAATTGAGAAAAAAATATAGTGAGTACTGCTGCTGAGTGCCATCCAGTGGGAAGAATGTTTCATAAATACGTTATGGTGTGCCCTTATCCACCTGATTCACCAGATCTGGACCCTGTGACTTCTGACTCTTCTCCAAAATCAAAATGATCATGAAAAGTAAATAGTTTGAACTGCTTCAAATATTGAGGCAGCCACAACAGCAAAACTAAAGATCCTTATAAGAGGACATCCAGGATTGATTCAGAAGAAAATGGCAAGAATGATGGAATCAGTGTATTCAAATGAAGGAGGAACTGGGTGTGGTCGTGCACAACTGTAAACTCAGCACTTGGGAGGCTGAGGCAGAAAAATCTGAGTTTGAGACTAGCTTGAGCAACACAGTGAGTTCAAGGCCAGCCTGAACTACAAAGAAAATCCGGTCTCAAAAAAGTAACAGCCAACAAGCAAAGAACACCTAGGAGATTGTTTTATCACAGTTTTGTGTTTGTGTGTAGATTACTGACTCATTGAAGATGGAAGACCTTCCCTGTGTGTGGTGGGCAAACAACAGTCCTGCATCCAGGAGGCAGTAAAAAGGGAAAGGAGAAAGTCTGGCTTCTGCCTCTTCAGAAGAGTTTGAGTCCTTGCCATCAACTTAGGTGTCATTTCCAGGATCCTAGCACAGATTCTTTTGCTTCCTGCAAGAGACTCTCCCAGGACTCTGCTGTGAGCTCCAGGTCTTAGACTTATGTGTTGATCTTTTGCATCTCAAATGAGCACCTGGCACTTTTGCGTTCTTCTCCACCAGGCTCTGCAGATGGCCTTCCTAAGCCTCCTTTGTAAATCCTTATCAGTCACACACACACACAAATTAATAGTGCACCTTGACACAAAATGCCTCTAGCTACCTGTGCAACCTCCCACGAACAATTTCATGCCTCACTCATGTGAAAAATCCAAAGCAGAACTGCAGCAGTGCTGTGCTAATTATGGGTTAGTTAACAGAGAAGTTGGTGTTGGGCCCATTGGGTTAAAATTCTGTCCACTGCTTTGTTATTGGAAAAGGTAATTAATGTTGGTGTCTAGGCTCACACAGCTATGAAAATGAAGATAATTCCTAACTCACACTCTTGTAAGAATTAACATATGTAAAGCATCTCAAAGGGGCCCTGGCCTGACACCTATAAGTGCTACATATGCTTATTAATATGTTATATTAACATGTAAAGATACTTTTTTAAAATTGGTACGGGTATCAAACTCACTACCGCCTACTTGCAAGGCAGGTTCTTATGCTGCTGAGCTAAATCGCCAGCCCCCAGGTAAAGATACTTTTAAGATATAAAGAAATCAGACGATGGATACTGAAAGCACTCATTTCTCTGTAATAAAAGGACAACAACACAAATAACAATTGTATCTGAGCACTTGCTATATGCTAGGAACCATGGGAAGATCTCTTCTTTGGATCTTCACAGCAGTGCCAAGAGATGAGTATTGCCTTTCATAACGCTTTGTTTTTTTAATGGAAAAAACCCCACAATATTTCAAAGCAAAACAATAGGAGAATAACAATAGTGGAAACTGAGGCACCCAGGGGAGAAGCAGTGTGCCTAAGGTGGCAGGCCTGGGAAGATTTGAGTCCAGACATCCATAAATTCCAAGCCTCAGACTCAGTCCACTGCGCTGCTTCCTGTCATAGCAGGCCTGGGGTTCAGAGTCTTCCACAAGCCTCATGAGAGACCTGCAACCACACCTCCCTTCAGCCTGACCCAACCCCCAAAACCACGCCCCTTTCCTCATCCCTCCCCCCCCCCCCGCCACAGGAGGACTACATACCTATTGGGTCCCAACTTTCTGGCCACACCCCTTGCCCCGCCTCCCAAGCCGCTGAGCCCTATCACTGGCCTCAAGCGAAGATTACACTCCACCTGGCCCAATCTGCGCGTGCCGCGCCCACGGACTGTCCCTCGCCTTGCGCCTGCACATCCCGCTCAGTCCCGTGCCGGCCCTGGCCTCGCCCTCACAGTGGATGCCTGTCTTGTGCACGGAGTCGCCATTTTGCCGCTAGAGAAGCTCTCAGGAGACCTGAACGCTCTTTCTTCAGTGGCCTAGCCTGCGACTGCGCCTGGACTGGGTCTGGGCCAGGTAGGTGGGCGGGAGCCGGCTGTGAGCTGCGGCGCGGCCCGGTGGCCCCGAGGTTAGCGGGCACAGGTGTCTCGGCGGGGAGTACTGCTGGCGGGGTCGTGGGACCAGGGTGGCAGGCGCGGCTCTGGAGGCGACCCGGCCTCAGCCCCCAAGGCCCCTCTCTCCCTTCCTCCCTCCTCTCCTTCAGGGGTCTGCACAGCCAGGACTGGCGCGCAGCCTGGAGTCCCTGGCCCCCGCCAGGCCCTAGTGTGGGACCTGCAGGAGGTGGCTCAGGTCTCACATGGCCTCTGCTGTCACTGAGCCTGGCTGTGCTGAGTCGGGGACATTTACCCCCAAAACGATGATTTCATTACATTCCGAGCTCCTCCCTGCAGAGACTGAGAGAGGACCGAGATATTACAGTAAGATAGCAGTTATTATTCTACCTGCACATGCTTTGGCTCAAGTCCCTTCCATTGATAAGGGTTTTCTGCTTCTTTTAATATTGGTGCCACTTGGGTGTTTATGTTTTGTAAACATAAGGAGACTGAATGCAGCATGGGGCTTTGACAACAAGGCAAAGGGTGATCAGTAGGGTTTAAAAATTTAAATCCACAAATAAAAATAATTCACACACATTGTTGAACCCTGCTACAGAATATCCAGCTTGCCCATATTCGGCTGTCTCTAACCACTACTACACAGTTCTGCTCATATGACTTATATATTTGCATAGTGTTGAATATTTATATGCATAGGAAGAGGTTTATTTAGTTATCCAGTTACTGACCATGTACAGAAGTCTAGTTCCTCTTAGAAAAATTGCATTGAGCATATAGCATTTTTTCTTGGGATAAGTTCCATAATTTGGAAATACTAATTCAGAGTTCTCTGTTCTTTCCCTGACACTTGACATGAACTGGTGCCTAAACAAGCCATTGTTACATCTTTCAAAATCTAGGTATTTGTCCAATTATCTTGGAAAATTTGGAGTTCAGCAAGATGTTGAGTCATTTTCTGTGCAGGCTGAGAGGAAGGCCACACAACCTACTGTAGGATTTTGTTTTTAAGTCATGTAAAATGTTCATGTTTTTGTTTTGATTGACTATTCTGTTTTGTTTCATTTGGTTTTATTCTCTTTAAAATAAAAAAATTAAAAAAAAACATTTTCTTGCTGGGCATGGTGGTTCATGCTTGTAATTGTAGCACTCTGGAGAGTTAGACAGGGGCATCACAGGGAATGCCATGCTAGCCTGAAATACTTGATGAGTTCAAGGTCAAGCTGCAGTACATAGAAGGACCTTGTCTCAGAACAAAACAACCTCTTTTTTGTCTTTTCTTATTTTAATGTAGCATAAGTAGATACTAATAAAGAAAATATGAAAATACTTTTATAAATAGATTAAAGTTTTCATACCATGCAGTTTATATACTATGAAACTATAATATACTTTATATAACTATGTAATATGAAACAGCATAGTAGTTTCATACTATGCAGTTTTCATGCTATGCGGTTTATATACTATGTTCCATTATCCTGGGGATTTCTGCATGAGCTATATGGCTCTGCAATTTAAAAAAAATTTTTTTTAAGTTTTGAGACAAGGTCTAAATAATTCACTCAATTCCCCAGGTTGGATTTAAATTTGTGGTCTTCCTTCCTTAGCCTCCCAGATGGCTGGGAATCTACAGGCTATCCTTACTTAGAAATTAGCAATCATTATATATGTTTATGGGATAAAATGTGCCTTTGATCTATGGCTCCTTTGTAGTAAGAATCAATCTAGTTAATGTGTCTACCACCTTCCCAACCTACAAATTCTTTCACAGTGACTGGGACTGTAAATCTCACTGTTTAGCAGTTTTGAAAGTTATCCTTCTTATTAACTGTGGTCACCATGCAGTTTAGTAGAGAGTTGAAAATTTGTTCTCCACCGTGCCTGAGATTTTGTATTCTTAGGTGAACATCTTCCTTTCCCCATCCCTCATGGAATTGATCATATTAAGAATCAGAGTGCCCAAGAAAGGTGTGAAAGTACTTGGGGCACACTGCTCTTCAGAACGACCAGGCAGTGGTACCCTGTATCACTTCACCTTGCTCCCAGTTTTTATTTTTTTGTTTTGTTTTTTTCTTTAACTCAGTTCTGGGAATTGAATGCAGGGCTGGCTTCATTACTTTTTCCTGGTTGCAGAGACAACATACCTGATGCCAAAAGTTGGCAAATGAAAGCTTTATTTCTTACAGTTTTTGGAGGTATCAGTCCATACTCAGTTGGCTCCAAGGCAGGCTGGCATGGTCGGGTGACAGTTTATGGCTGCTGCAAACAGCAAGGAGGAAACAGGCAAAAGAGCAAGACAGGCCTTCTTTCTACCATTACATCACACCCTGGCTCCACCCCTAGGTCAGTGTAGCACTCACACCCCAACCAGTCACAAATGCATAATATAAATGCATGAGGCCTGGGGGCCACAGACATAAATTGTGACAAGGGCCTTGCACTGAACTAGACTAACTTCTGTTTTTAAAATTCTTTTTCATTTTGAGCCAGGGTCACCACAAGGAACTACAGTGCTGAGACACCATTCTTGGACATAGATTCTTACATGCCTATGTGTGGATGTACCTTGATGTCATATTGGAATCTACTAGGAGGTGAAGCGGCTCTGAGCAGGATTTAAATTTTACTAATTGGCTTTAAATGTTTAGCTGTGAATCTGTCCTAGGCCCAGGCCCCTTGCCTGGAGATGGGAGCTGATTCATAGTAAGTGAACCTCTATGAATTCCATAGCAGGTCCTGACTGAGGCCTGTAGTGGCTTGTGAGGCCAGAGATACCTCAAAAGGTAAGATAAGGCCACACTGTGGACAGTCTAGCTCCAACACCAATTAACTAGGTAGAGACTGCAGCTGCAAAGTTTACTCCTACAGATCACTTCTACCATGTCTTCATGATAAGACAGTGCTACTGAATTGACTTGGTTCATTACTTGGAGAGATCCTTGAAGTGACTCCCAAGGTCCTGCTCATAGCTTGTACTTTCCTCAGTTTCTCTGCCCTTTGTCCTTGGTCCTAATGTAAGTGGACTGACACAGAGAATCCTTTGTCTTTTTCCTCACAGTGGAGCCCTACATATCATATAATTTCTCACTTTTTATTTAACCTCCACCATAAACTAGTTTGGGAGATCCAAGATATAGGACAGAACCCCATAATTTCAGAGACATTTCACTTTGAAAACTCAGATCCTTGTTCTCGTATTCATGTATTATTTCATGATCAGATTCTGTGGCTTCTTTTCCTGTGGACCCAGAGAGAACAACCTCAGCATCCCCCCAGCTTTCCCTATTTCCTGTGGCCCACACTGATGCCCCACACCCTTTATGTGGAAGATAGGGATGGTCCCAGGTCCTTCCTGCTTCAAACAGCTGTGAATCAAACTCCTGAAAAGAAATCTTGCAAAGTTGTGCAGCTCTCTGTCAGTTATAAACCTCTATTTTTAACCCTCCCAGGTCCAGGGACACCTGTGTAGTGCTCTGATGGGAGCTGCCAGAAGGGGCTCTGCTCTGCTCCCCTTGTTCTCCCCAGTGCTGTTCAGCACCTGCCTTTAAACCTGCCATCAGATGGAGACATAGCACATATCAGGGATGTGTGCCTGCATGAATCAGCTTTGGAGGCTCAGTGTTTTCTACCCTTGTTGGCCACCTGTGGTGATTCTCTTTTGATTTATAAGAATTTTTCATCTCTCACAGAATGGACTCATGACACCTCTTTTACACCTGTATCACAAACTATCTGTCTGACTATGGCGTGTAAGGAAAGGTTTCTTGTTGTAGTTTCTACAGTATTCTTTTTTCTGTTTTTGAAATGCAATGAATCAGACCTCTCTAGCTCCCTTCTATCACTGAAGTCATGGCAACACTTTTCCAACATGAAAAGAAGAGTAGATACAAAATGCTCTCTACATTTTCCTGATAAATTGTCTACCTGGGATTTTGTTTTCTATCAAAGAGCAACATCAGCCACTGTCTTTCAGTAAAATTTGACTGAACAGAGTCTCATAAATGATTATTAAAGACCCAGAGTTCTAAATCACAGTGAGAAAAAGGTCAGAGGTGGCTGGGTATAGCAGGAGAGGACAGGTGTATGGGCAATTCCAATACTGAGCAGAGAGCTGGAAATCAACAGATGTGGAAATTGTACAAATAGATGATGTACTTATATGCTACTGAATTGAACATAGTGAAACTAATGGTATCTTAACTTTTAAGGTAAATTGTACTAGAATTTAATGTCTAGAAGAATTAGAGACTTAGCAGTAGAAATGTAAACTGAAAATAATACAAGGTGTACAAGGAGAGGCGAAAGGAAAGGGAGGTGCTTTGCAGGAGTGGCCCTAACTGGAGCTCAGGATGCTTGCTGTGGAGCCAGTAAAAGCCTCAGCTCTAGAATTCCTCAAGACAGGCTGCCTGGCCTTAGTTTTCGCTTTGAGCCCAAAGCTGGTGAGGTCACTGGAGATGGATCTAGCATAAACTCTGCATGTGGGGCTTGAGCTCAGTTAGCTACTCCCCTGTGTCAGCAGAAGGAGAAAAACCACCAACTATCCTTGTTCCTTGCAGGCCCTAGAACTTCCCAGTGCCTGTCACAGACAGTTCTGTGCACAAATCCACCCCAGGAAAGCTTTCCATTCTTCTTCAACCCACTCATTTCTGCATGTCTCAGTGTTGCAGGAGGCCCCAAATCTTGGAGTCTTTGTCTGTGTAAAGTGTCCCATGCACTCCCCAGAGGCCCACAGACCCAGGCCAAACACTTCTGACTGCAGTTCTCATGTTCAGTGAGCTCAGGTTGGTCCAACTCAACTGGGCATCTTATAGATTTGGAAATCAACCTCCTGCTGCAGTTGCAGAGCCCTGCCCCAGTCTTTTCTTTGCCTTGAATGGGGTAGTGCTGGCCCAGGTGGTCCTCACATGCTGACAGAAGTCCCTAATAGTGGGGGCTGGGGATTTAGCTCAGCGGCATAAG